TATATATACATATATACAGTGAGGAAAATAAGTATTTGAACACCCTGCGACTTTGCAAGTTCTCCCACTTAGAAATCATGGAGGGTCTGAATTTTTTATCTTAGGTGCATGTCCACTGTGAGAGACATCATCTAAAAGAAAAATCCGGAAATCACAATGTATCATTTTTTTAATAATTCATTTGTGTGTTACTGCTGCAAATAAGTATTTGAACACCTGTCAATCAGCAACAGTTCTGGCCCTCAAAGACCTGTTAGTCCTCCTCTATAACGTCCACCTCCACTTCTTATTCTAAATTAGAAGCAGCTGTTTGAGGTTGTTAGCTGCATAAAGACACCAGTCCACCCCACACAGTCATTAAGACTCCAACTACTAACATGGCTAAGACCAAAGAGCTGTCCAAACACACCAGAGACTAAATTGTAGACCTCCACAAGGCTGGAAAGATCTACGAGGCAACTACCAAGCAGCTTGGTGAAAAAAGATCAACTGTTGGAGCAACTATTAGAAAATGGAAGAAGCTAAACATGACTGTCAATCTCCCTCGGACTGGGGCTCCATGCAAGATCTCACCTCGTGGCGTATCAGTGATCCTAAGAAAGGTGAGGAATCAGCCCAGAACTACACGGAGGAGCTGGTCCATGACCTGAAGAGAGCTGGCACCACTGTTTCCATGGTTACTGTGTAATACACTAAGACGTCATAGTTTAAAATCATGCATGGCACAGAAGGTTCCCCTGCTTAAATCAGCACACGTCCAGGCCCGTCTGAAGTTTGACCAGGACCATTTGGATGATCCAGAGGAGTCATGGGAGAAATTTCTGTGGTCAGATGAGACCAGAATAGAACTTTCTGGTCTTAATTCCACTCGCCGTGTTTGGAGGACGAAGAATGATGAGGACCATCCCAAAAACACCATCCCTGCTGTGAAGCATGGGGGTGGAAGCATCATGCTCTGGGGGTGTTTTTCTGCACATGGGACAGGATGACTGCACTGTATTAAGGAGAGGATGACCGGGGCCATGTAGTGAGAGATTCTGGGGAACAACCTCCTTCCCTCAGAACATTGAAGATGAGTCATGTCTGGGTCTTCCAACATGACAATGACCTGAAGCACACAGCCAGGAGAACCAAGGAGTGGCTCCGTAAGAAGCAGATCAAGGTTCTGGAGTGGCCCAGCCAGTCTCCAGACCTAAACCCTATAGAAAATCTTTGGAGGGAGCTCAAACTCCGTGTTTCTCAGCGACAGCCCAGAAACCTGCTGATCTAGAGAAGATCTGTGGAGGAATGGTCCAACATCTCTGCTGCAGTGAACCTGGTGAAGAACTACAGGAAACATCTGACCTCTGTCACTGCAAACAAAGATACTGTACCAAATATTAACATTAATTTTCACACGTGTTCAAATACTTATTTTCAGCAGTAACACACAAATAAATTATTTAAAAAATCATACATTGTGATTTCCGGATTTTTTTTTTTTAGATTATGTCTCACAATGGACATGCAGCTAAGATGAAAGATTCAGACCCTCCATGATTTCAAAGTGGGAGAACGTGCAAAGTCGCAGCGTGTTCAAATACTTATTTTCCTCACTGTATGTATATATATATATATATATATATATATATATATATATATATATATATATATATATATATATATATATATACGTCTAGTTTGATGTGAATTTGATTAATTATCTTTTATGATCAGTTTTATTTAGGAAGCGTTAAAAAATAAAAGCAGAACATTTAACTTCATCAGTATCTTTCAAACAGGAAGTCAGGGTGTTTTTAAGGTTATATCCATTCTATTAAAATCATAACTCCACATGAAGCAGCTTAAACAAACAGAACCATGTGGGTCAGAGCGGGCCGCAGCAGGTTCTGCTCTTTAATGATTAAATGAATCATGAAGTCAGTTTGAGCTGCAGGAAGTCGACCACTCTGACGCAGCGCACGCGTCGTTAACACGGTCTCTAATCAGGTTAAGTTATTAGACCCGGAGTGGGGGGTTGGGGGGGAACTGGGTCAGCAGGAGCTGAACGCAGCCGCAGAGACAAACAGCTGAGTGGGCACAACCACGTTATGTAATGTTTACTCAACATTAACCGGATTATTTGACACTTTCGTCTGTGACAACCGTCCTGCAGCTCCTCGTCCCGACATGGAAGGATTTATTTTTACTTTTCCAACTGAAGAGGAGGACAAACCCCTCCGGCGTCCCGGAGGAGGTTCCTGCAGAGGAGGAGCAGCTTTGTTGGCGATCATCCATTCAGCTCCTGCTCGTCTTTTTCTCTGACGGCTGCTGGAGCGTGAACACCCGAGCCCTGGGGACGTGGACATCTGTTTGTCCACACTGTGTCCCTCTTTGTGTGTCTCTGTCGTCCCTATGTGACAGCCTGGGGGGGGGCGTGTGCTAAAGGAAGGAGAGGTTCAGGACTTTTCAGAAGGTGCATGCAGTGAAAGAAGCAAGATAAACGTGGATTAACTGACGGTTCTCTCTTTTTTTTGGAGCATTTTTTAATTTACCAACTACTTTTTAAAATTTTTTCTTTATTATTTTGCCTCCAAACCGTCGGGTTCACCTCGTAGTTCACCCCGTGGTTCACCCTGTGGTTCACCCTGTGGTTCACCCTGTGGTTCTCCCCGTGGTTCTCCCCGTGGTTCCAGGCCTTCTGCTCCATCTGCATGTTGGAAAGCAGCCATGGAAATCCAAACCTAATCAGGATCTCCTCTGAGTTCCACCTGATCTCCTGCAACACAAGCTCCTGTGTCAGCTGACCCACTGATCCCAGCATCGCCACCTCCAGGGACCGGAGCAACCTCTGAGACAGGAAGTTCTGCAGGACGAAGAGCGATGTCAGGTCTGTAGGCTGGTGGAGAAGCCTCAGACCAGGAGGAGGAGGAGGCTGATGGCTCCTCTGTGGAGGAACATGCTGTCCAGGAGCAGCCCGCTCTACAGAGACTCCCTGTTCTCCTTCTCCCTGTGGGAGTGGAGGGCTCAGGAGAGGGAGCTGCTGCTGCTGAAGAAACACTCGGACAGGGAGCGGAGAACCATGCTCACTCAGCTCGACAAGTAAGACCCGTACAGAACCAGCACCAGCACCAGGCGGTCCTCTCACAAACCTTCACCTCCAGAAAACTTTTTATCTAAAAGTTTTCAGGTTTCGTCCCACTTTCCGTTTGAGTCGTTCGGAGTCCAGATCCCAGCAGGAGGCAGACCTGGACTGCAGGTGGTCCGGTCCAGTGAGGTCTGACATGGTTCTGCTGAAAGAACTCCTCGATGGGAGCATCTGAAGTCTTTAGCCGTTAGTAGCTGATGTTTCTAACAGCTAAAGAATCTAAAAAGCCTTGCGGCTGCTGCAGCTTTTCTTCGTTTCTTGTTTGTTCGGTCGGTGTAAACGGCGTCGACAGAAGAATCAGATATTTTCTCCTGCAGGTTACAGCTTCATCTTTTCCTCAGAGTGCGTTAACTGAGGGTCATTTTGACCCAAGGGCAGCAGGAGGCTCCAATGAAAAAACATTAAAAGGCATAAATGACAACCATTCACCACATCATGTTAAATACAGAAATGTCCAATAATCATAGGCGTCGCAACAATTGTATGTTAAGGGGACGTGTCCCCTTCACATTTAAAAAAATATTCATCCCCCCCCCCCACACACACACACACACACACACATTTACCACGAAATATTAGTTCACCCAGTGCTGTTTCTATTTCTTAGTGAACAAATCTGTTCCACCTGATGAACAGGAGAATACTACTCAAACCACTAAAAGTCCACTCTGGGTTTTCCTGGATACACACAACTCACATCGCATGCAGCGTCTCCTCGAGGTCACTTGACTTGACGGGACATTCATCTCTGAAGGTTTTGTTTTTTGTGTGTGGATGGGGTGGGGGGGGGGAGACCTCTGTTTTGCACGCTAGCTTAGTGCCACGTTAGTGACAGCAGTTGTTGAGCGGGGTGGGGGGAGGTTAGGATGCGTGAGAGAAGCGGTGCTTCTTAACTAGCACATCTGTATTGTGCGCCGTTATGTTAGCTCTATGTTAGGACTGGCAGTTGTATGTCGACCGGGAAGGGGGATTGTTAGTAGGGGTGCACCGATTGCAGTTTTCTGCCTGACCACCGATCACGATTTCTAAAAAGTCATACCTGCCGATTCCGATTTTGGCCAATACTGACTTTGTTTTATAAGCAACACTGTCAGGTGTTATAAGTTCACAATACACCTTCAATTTTCTAATCTTATTTTACTGAAAAACATACTCTTGAACAATATCCTAGAAACAATAGAAACTTGTTTTAACTGGCCATTCGGTAGTGCTCTGAAATATAAATGAAGTTTAGACAATTGTTGTTAAAACTACAAAATCGGTAAAATCGGTTTCTCGTGCAAGTATCGGACGATTTCCCATTTCCCAAAATTAAGGAAATCGGGGCCCCAATTTATCGGCGCATCCCTAGTTGTTAGCCGAGTGAGAGAAGTGGAGTGTGCTCTGTTCACACAAGGAGAACTGTTGGTCAGGTTACTTCTCATTGTTCTCTAAAATAGTTATTGAATCAAGTGTTTACTTATGGAGGTCAACGTTGATGCTTAAAAACCAGTTAAAATACACCAGAATGCAGGAAATGGCATCTACTTTATTCAAAAATTTCTGGGGGAGGACCCCCAGATGATACTCACCCACCCCACCAATTTGTCCCCCCTACATTACTAATGCTTCTGATGCCAGTGCCGACAGCCGTGTGTGTTTGTGGATTAAAACCTAAACGTTAATCCTAACGTGGATTAACAACCGGTGAACAGACTGTTCTGAGCCCGTGGTTCAACCAGCTGTTAACTTTGTGTTTCTCTGACAGACTCAGTAAGGAGCTGCAGCAGAAGGATAAAGTCATCGAGTCGCTGCGCGCCAAACTGAACCTCCATCGTCGATCCGACACGCCCTGCAGCGGCCACGCCCTCTCCGATTTCACCGACCAATCGGATCGCATCTCCTACGTCTCTGACGAGCACGGATCCACTGGTGGGGACCCGGAGCTTTGCTCCGATGTGGACTGCGCAGACGGAACACGGAGTTCTGCCGGAGTCGGAACAGGTGAGGCGAACGCAGACGGGACAGGAAGTGGAAAACTCACCTGTCGGCTCATCTGGGTTTTACTTCATTAACCAGTTCCAGTCAGCACTGGTACGCTTGAAACCAGAACCGTTTTATCTTCCTGTCTGACATCAACCCAGACCAAATGTTTCCTGTTAGGTCTGTTCAGAAACAGTGTGGGGGACTATTTTCTGCAGCGGATTAACGTTGATTTGACGCTCTCCTGGTGAACCTGCCCACCCTTCTCGTCATGTGACCTCATCGTTGTTGTTGTTGTTTACTTCCTGCCCATCATAACGATAAATAATGTTTGTTTCACTGTCCTCATTATTTATATTTTCAGATTCTCATCACGCCGTCTCCATGTCACTCCATCCATCTGCTCCTCCATCCATCACCTCCTCCCATCTCTCCCAGTCCTGCCTCAGCTGTCCCAGCATGCACTGCTCCAGCTCGCCTCACCGACCTGCAGATGCGACAAGTCTGACAGGTGGGAGGAGCTCCGACTCCGACCTGCAGAACTTTTCCTCTTTCCTTCATCCTCCTGTGGGTCTGTTTTCACCTTCCTCGCCTTCTTTGCTCTCAGCGCCACTCTCCACCTCCTGTCACCCTTCGAACTCCTCCTCCTCCCCACAGAGGAGCCTCCCCTGCCGCCCCCCTCCCCCCTCCAACCTGCCAACCCAAAGCAGCCGAGGGGCGGGATTCTCTTTGGCTGAGGTTCAGCAGGAGCTGCAGCTGTTACAGAAACAACTGAGAAATGAGAGTGCGTGGCTTAGACTCTGCATGATCGTCTTAACGAGCTAAAATCTGCTGCTGGATGTCTAATGAGCTAAAATCTGCTGCTGGATGTCTAA